CAAGAATATAGCTCTTTTAACCAAATGACAACCTATTCTTCCATAATCTTTTTGTACTTTATTCCATATTCCTAATCTGAACAGCTGAGCACCTTCCAGGAGTGTAGAAATGGTGCCCTGAGTGTCAGATTAGGTTTATTCCTGTGATAGCAGTCACAGTGGTGCAGTTATTGGGTAGCAAGGAAGCAGATTTTGTTGGGAGATGTAGTATCTTAGGTCTACTGAGAAAAGTCAGGCAAAAAGCAGGTGAGATCTGACCCTTGTGGATCCAAAACCTTTTCTGTGTTCTTCTGTCTGGATTGCTTGATCTAAACCCCTTCCTTGTTCCTACCTTTCCTGCAAGGAAGGAGAATTTTGTGTGGATTGTAGTGTTTTATTATACTACAACCTTCTTATACACACTTTTGGAGCAGAGAAGGCTGTTTGAAGCTGTCACCCAGGGAATACTGGTCTGTACTTCCTGGTGCTGATTTGGGATGCCCTGTTTCTCCTGTGTAAGCAAACTTCCCCTTGGAGAGAAGCGTTCAGCTTAGCCTGGAGTGAGGAGTTTTCTTCTGCTGTCATCCATCTTGGAAACACGAACTAAGCTGCTGAGTAGTGTGTCCTAGTCACGGAGACCTTGAAATTCATTTGGCAGCCCCTGGGAAGGCAGCGTGAGGGACTCGCGCTGCCAACAGGACGCATCCTCCTGGGCTGGGATGGGCTGGGCTTGGCTGGCTGGCATTCCCTGAGCACTGCCTGGGCCCTGATCAGAGCTGTCACGTTTCCCCAGTGCCAGAGAGCGCTGACACAGCGTGCCTAACCTGGCCAAGACAGATAGGGTCTCCCGGCCAACTGGGGATGGTGGAAATGATTTCCTGCAGATGCCATCATGTGCAAATTTAGCAACAGTGAGAAATCCAAGCACATTCTCCAGGCACAGTGTGCTGGGCCGCATGTGTGACCAGTCCTTGGTGAAAGGGCTGAGAACTCTCTCCTGGTGGTACTTCAGACCAAGACAGAGACCACAAGGTACCAGAGGGATCACTTGTGCCTGTAAAAACCTTGAACGTCATGTTGCAAGGGCCATGGGAAATTGGGACCTCACAGCATTCTGCACAGGACCCAAGGATTGGATTATAGGACATTTAAACCTGTTACCATCCTTTCTTCTCTGTTGAACAATGGCATTTGTGTTTCATATATAAAAGTGAACTGTATGTGTATGAGGAATCTGTTTCTTTGCAACACTGCTTAGAGCAAAGCATATTCTGAGGTAATAAATGTATATGTGGGGAGAAGAGATGGCATCTTTTTATTAAGAAGAAAATACAGATTTCAGGACTGTATCACCCTGTTTGATCTTTCCATCTTCCTGTACATCCCCTCTGAATATTACCTAAGGTTATAGCTGAGTCTCAGTTACCACGTATAGGGAATATAGTGATTCCACTCTCACAAAACACTGCTTTCTCTGAAAAACACCATTTCGGTTTCAACTGTAGACCCAAACAGAGCACAGTGACTCTGCTGTTGTGCAAATGGAAAAATGTCTGTTGTGCTCCTTGTCTGCCCAGCTGTGACATTTTATGTGCTGTCTTGTCACATGCCAAATACTTTATCAGAACTGATCTACCCAGGGAAACCTGCTCTCTGCCACATCAATCACGTTACTTATCTTTCCCTGCATCTGGAGCAATCCCCTTTTCCAGGCATCCCTAGATGAATGCTCAGGTTGACACCACGTGGTTGCTCTGCCCTGGGTAACCAGAGGAGGGCTGCAAAAACAGGGTGGCAGGTGGAAGGAATGTGCTAATCCTGGCCATGCCCTTCCATCACCTTCACGTGCTCCGTCAGCTGCACGGAGCCACCCAGTCCTGCACACCCTCCGCCCTGGTGGCATGTCCTTGTGGATCTGTGCCATGGGACCTCGTGCTCCTGCAAGGCACTGTTGCCAACCCAGGTCGCTTGGATGACCAGAGCTCCACTGGGGTGCTGGGTGTGATGGGAAATTCAACCGCATGGCTGCCACCGACAGTTTGAAAAAAATCACTGGAAGAGGTTAGGAATTACAGTCTGGAGGTGTTGTGTCTCCCAGGTTATCTGTAGAGGGGAAAAAAAGGCAAAACAATTAAGATGGAAGGGAGAAAACGGGGGGAAATGGAGTTCTGTGATGATGGAGGTGAGCAGTTCCTGGGAGAAAAGAGGTAAGAAAGCTGGAAAAAGTCCAATTTGTGGTTTTGGAGACATGAGAAAAGTCGTTCTGGGGATGGATGTTCACTAGACCATCACAACTATGTGAAATCTGAAAAGTCATGCTCTGGAAATGGGGCTTTGGGGACAACTGGGATACAAATGGACTGTTAGGCTGCTTCTCAGGCCATGTGGAGACATGTATTTCGTTGCTTAGCATTCGTTTTTGTTTGTCAGCTCCAGAAAGCTGTTTTCCCACAGCCTTGTCTCAGGATCGTGGGGTGCAGGAGCAAACTGGGGCTGTTGACTTTCAGACTACTCAATCATCCTGCAAATTACAGCCAGCCCAGAAAAAACACAGCTCTGCATGTTTCCTTATTTAGGTAGAAGTGTTGGGAAAACAGCATGAGATTTTGTTTCTGATAAAGTAGGAGCTGTTTCGGGAATATTAATTATTTTTCTTGTATCAGTGTTTTACATTTATTCATCCACTGCAGCATTGGGAATGAGATGGATGAAGTCTACAGAATCGTTTCAGACTTTCTGTCAGGCACTCTAGCCTATGAAAAAAAATTAAAAGAAATTGTGCTGACATTTTGGAGTCAGTAGGGTTTATTTTCTGGTTATTTTAGCCTGGGGTATGGAAGCTGTGGGCTCCATTCCCTGCCCCATGTAATCTTTTTGCAACATCACTTGGAGTCAGGTTCTCAAAAAGTTTCTGAATGCCTGAAGACAGAGGTTTAGGGACATCTGAAGGTGTTCAGTCACCTGAGTAATTTTGACCATTTTGTGTACCACTTCTGTAATCCTCCATCTCCGAGAAATTCACACTGGTGAAAGGCTGCAGAAAAGATTTTGCTGCTTTATAGTTGTATTAGGAGGAGAAAGAGTCTGGGAGATGTTGGAGCCTACAAAGGCACATGTGATTTGTGATCCTCACAAAGGAAGTGAGGATGTAAGGAGTGGATCCATCAGAAGGTTTTTATCTGCTGTGTCCAACCTGAGCTGGATGCTCAGTGCTGGTCTTGGGCACAGCCTGGGTTGGAAGAAGGTCTCTTCTTCTTGACCGAAGCTGATTCAGGTCCAGAGAGAGTTCACCCAAGTCTCTAGACAGTCTGAGACAAGACAGTGATGGTGTGCCTGGGAATTAAACCTCGATCTTGGTGCATGGCTCAGAAAAACAAGATGAGGAGTAGGAGCTCAGTCAGGTCCCTCTAACCTGGTGAAAAACCTGCCTGTGAGCTGGTGTCCCACATCTGAGCCATAACTTTAGACTTTGGTCTGCAGGGGAACAAAGGTCGTGGAGATAGTTTTAGGACTGGGTTACCTGTGTGGTGATGTCCTTGGGACAAAGACCTTGAATCCTTTGTGGTGAAATAGCAGGGAAATGTTACAAAGAGGTGTTTCACACATCATCCCCCAAGATGTAGCGTGGAGTTGGGCTCTCATTCTGGTGCAAGTTGGGGTGATTTTATCAGAAGGCATGGCATGAACATGACCACATAGGCTAAGTCCTGAAGGTTTCCCTCAGTCAACACTGTCTTTGAAGTCAATGAGGCTGAAGTTATTGCCTGATAGGAGGAGTAGTCCGTCTGGGATTTCTCAGCTGAATTAACTTTAATGATAAAAATGTTGATATAAATATGCAAAATATAAAAACAGTATTGTCAGCCACTTTGTTTCTGGCTTGGGGGGTTTATGTGTTTAGTCTTAGATGTTTTTTCGTATTGATTTTGTGTATCAAGATTTAATGCTATCAGGAACCACTGAGTAAAAATATTTAGTAATAACAATAATAGTTGAGGGTGTGATTTGATAATCCTAACAAAATAGATAAGATGGATGTTCAAATTACTTCTTGGCTTGGGTTTAGGGGTTGTCCTGGTGCCTATCACATTCAATTAGTATTGAGACAGCTCCATTTTCAAGGAGGTCTTCATGCTGGAGCATATCAAGTAAGAGATCTAAGAAACAATAACATCAACAGTAACGATGTTTCTCTCAATACACAAAATGTTTAGCTATTGAGGCCACTTTTTCTCTTGTGGTTTGTTTAGTCTGTTTAGTGAATTCTGCCAGGTTGGTTTTGATCCTGTGCGAGAGTGATTTGTTGTAAGAGCGGATGCATCAGCCGAGCCCTGTTTGAAAGTAAATAATAAATAATTGTAACAGTTAATATAAGAAACTGACATCTCCACAGTTTATTTTCTTGTTGGCTTAGTTTAGTTCAGGCCAGTTTCTTTCTGGCATCATTTGCATCCAAGCCGAGAGATCAAAACTGCGCAGCCGCCCCCCCCAGCTCTCCCTCGCTGCCTTCGCGGTGGGTTCCCACGGCCGGGGCTCTCTCCTGGCCGTGGGGAGAGGGGTGCTTTGTCAGGGACGGGTTCTGGGGTGCGGGGGGGGGGTGCGGTGGGGTTGGAGGTCTCCACCGCCGCTGGGCTCACGGGGGCTCCAGGGTGTGCGGGGAGGGGGATGCTCTGGGGCACAGAGAGGCAGCGGGGTGGCACAGCATCGCAGGGGCTCCCAGAGCCCGGAGGGGTGGCGGTGGTGGGGTGCGGAGCGCTGCGGGGCTCCGCTGCAGAGGGGGTTGCGGGGCGCACCCCCCCCACTCCCGGCGCTCAAGGAGCCGCCGGTGCCGCCTCGGCCGCTCCCGCAAAGGGTTAAGGGGAGCGGGGCCGGCGGAGGGCGGGGGCTGCCGGGGGCTCCCGGGGATTGGTGCGAAGTTTGGAGCGGGGCGGCCCCGCGCCGCCCTCCGCGGCGGCTCGGCCCCCACCGCCACAAAGCCCTGCAGGGAAAGTTGCTTTATCGCCGGTTTCTCTCGCCCCGGTTCTCCCCCCCCCCGTCCCTTCCCCTCCCCTTCCCCAGCCCCTTACCCCTCCTCCCCTCGTTCCTTAAACGGGATTCCGGCTGGGCGAGCCGCAGGACGGCATCACCGGGCATCCCGCGGCGGGGAGCCCCGGCGGCTCTGGCAGGTCCCCGCTGTCCCTCCCCGCACACACACACTCTCAGCCCAGCCCGGAAAGCAGGAAAAAAAAAAATTACAAGATTTCCCCCCTTTTCCCCGAGCTCCTCGCTCCGTGACTCTCGAGTGGAAAAAAACGCCCCCGGGGCGAAGGGCGGCGGGAGGGGGGGGTGTCGGTAGAAAGCCGGTGAAGGGGCAGAGCCGCTCCGTGGGGAGGGCAGCCCCAGGCAGCCCCCGCCCGCCCGGGGAGGGGGGGATGAGGTAGAGGCCGGCGGCGGAGCGCCCGCCGGGCGCCGTGGCCGCGGAGGGCATGAGGCGGCGAGCGGCGGGGATGGGCTCCAGCACCAGAGCGCGGTGTTAGAGCCCCGGCAGCACCCGAGGTAAGTGCCCCCCGCGCCGACGCCCCCGCCCGGGACACCCCGCGGGGTCCCGGGAGATACTAACGCACAGCTGGGAGCCGCCGAGGGCTGGGGGGGCAGCACCAGGTGGCATCGCGCCGGGTGTCCCCCCCACCCCGTGTGTCCCTCCCTCCCTCTCGACCCCAGTTCCCGGCTGCGAATATCCCGTTAGCGGCCGCCGCGGGGCTGAACCGCGCTGCGCCCCCGGGGCTGCCCCGGGGGAGCCCCCCCGCGCCCCGCTCCCCGTGCCCCGGTCCCCCCCGGAAAAACGGGGAAGCGAAGGGCGAAGCCGCCGTGTTTGCTTTGCTGGATGCTGTACGCGGGCTGTTGTGTGTCCTGGGGGCACGGGGTGTTTAAACCGGGGAGTTTTACAAGGGTGAGGAATCCAGACAGTGTTTAGAGAGTGAGAGTTTTAGGAGGAGAACAGGGTGTAATTAATGTAAACCTGATCTACACCGGGTGTGCGTATCACAGGGAAGGCATCTTCAAGAATCTGAGTAATTAAGCGTGGTTTTGCTTTGGGAAGCACCTCTGGAGCCCACGGAAACAAGTGGGGCTGGGGGGGGGGCGGGTGCGAAGAAGAGGAAAGGAGGAATCAGTGCTGTGCAGAGAAGTCTCGGAGTGGAGGAAGGCGCGTACCCATAGCGGAGCCTGGCTGAGGGGCACTGGAGCAGCAACACAAAGTTTTCTGGGCTGCTGATGGGAGAGGTAACATTCCTCCTCTCCCTTCTTCAAGTTCCTCCACAAATTGTTAACCCGAAATCTTGTTTTATGGCCACTTGCTAGTGTTTTGTTTGCCTTCCAGACTGGTTCTGTACAGGATACGAAAGAATTATGCATTAACTGTAAACTTAGAGGAGCTTACTGACCTCAGTGGGTTCTTGATTTATATCAGGCTAGAGCAGAGAGGAGGGCAAAGTTTTACTCGCTGAGCACCAAGGAATGAATTACAAGTACGTTGCACTTTCATTTGCTGTTTCTGCTCGCAAGTCTTCGCAACAGGATTTGAAACTCTGCAAAGTTGAGGGTTGTTTGGGGTTTCCCCCCCAGTAATTATTTTGCTCTCCTTTTCCCTGCCTCCAGGTCTGAGAGGACAGTAGCCTGTACGATACGGTGGGATCTGGTTTTCAAAATGGAATTGCAGCTCGCGCTCCTTTTCGCAGGGATAATTGCATTTTCGGACTCGGCGAGAGGTAAGGAGACCGCGCTGGGTGCAAACACTTCGTGACTCACACCCTTCCCTCTGCTCAGCTGGGCTCCTGCTCTGCAAACGGTGCCCTCAGAGGGACCCTGTAGGGGAGTTGCTGTCGGCACAGGCTTGTTACTTATCTGCTCAGGGGTTCAGGCTCGTGCCCACGGGTGGTGCCTCCTCACCTGCGTGGTTTCGGGGCCATCCTTTTGGATGGAGCGCGGTCACTCCGGCTTTTGCTCAGGTCTCTGAGGTGCAGGTGAACTTTCAGGGGCTTTTGTTGTGCCTGTGTAAAAGTACACAGACAATTTTGAAGAAAAGCATCTGCATTCCTCTGTGGATCAGAAATACCTCTCCCCTCCTGTAATCCCTCCAGCCCCTGCCCCATGTATTCCCACTTACAAACTAAACAAACACATCCATTAACTTGCTTGGTGACAGACAAATGACAGTTCCCAACAGCGAGAGCGTATTTTAACGCTGAGGCTCCAGCAGTTGATCAGATTTCAATAAACAGGTTTCCTTACCAGAGGCAAATTGAAATACATTGACCTGGGAGTGATGGGGGTAGGAAAAAAGAAGTGTCTTTATGGGAAGGTGCTTTGAGCAAAGCTCTGGGGTCAGAGTGCAAGGAACGCTGTCTTTTCCTCCACTCTCGCCTGTGTTGTACCTTGGTGAGTGCTGTCCTTGGAAAGCCTGAATGGGAATTTATGCTTTCAGCTTCCCCACCTCTGCTCACAATGTAAGGGGCTGCATTGTTCCAGAAAAATGGGGGTATGACTTTAGGATGCAGATTGCTTCAGCTGCAATTCCCAACAGTATCAGAGTTTCATGAACTGTTGTAAGACCTTTAAATCACCCAGCGTGATGAAGTTGTGAATTAAAAGGTTTAAACTTGTCCTTCACTTGGGCTGTAACTCACCAAAAATAAACCTTGAGGGTAGGGTGGGAAAGAAGAGGGGGAACGTTACTCTGAAAACCCAAGGTTTGGTTAGTGCGCTGTGCTTTTTTTTTTTCTTCTTGGCATTGGCTCCCAAGCAAATATTTTATGGAGGCAAAAGCACTATAAAATGATTTGGCTGGAAGCTGGATGAAAAAGAAAACAGTATATAGGCTGTAAGTTCTGCAAGTCTGAGTTCCCGGCAAGGTTTACAATGGAGACTCAGTTTAAGTTGTAGGCGATGGGCAGCAGCGTATGAATTGAGATGACCTCATGGATGTATATTATTGCAATGGACCTGAGAAGTTGGTGGAGTTCCGGAAAAGATCTGAAGTGGGCAGGAGAAGACAAAAAGATTTTTGTCTCTGTTGTGAGCTGAGTGTCGGCTGCTTTACTGGGTGACCCTGTTTAAATTTGGTTTGCACTTGTCTTGCTCGTACTTTTGTTGCCCCTGGAAAGTGAAGTGCTGTGGGCTGTTGTCGTGTGAAGAAGTGACAGAAAATTAACCGTGGTAATTTCAGGCCATCATAATTTTTCCTGTGGGAAGGTCTTTTTAATAAAACTTTGATAGGATCATATTGGTAATTGGGTTATTTGAACCCTTTTTGGAGCTGGAAAAATCCATCCTGTAAGTGTATGGAGAGATGGTTCTGGTTGTTTAAAATTATCTAGAAACAGAGTTTAAAAACCAGGGCCAAACCCATGAAAAATGTCATTCGTTCATGTGCTGATTTCAAGATTTACTGCTGTAAAAATATAGACAATATCCTGACATTTAAATCCTGCTTTGGACGTCCTTAAGGTTGAGAACGTTTTTGATATTGGAAGATGTAGATGGAAGATCAAATTTGTATATGAGCGGAGATGAGGCACTCTCCAGAACTTTGAAACATTATTTTGTCCTGACAAATATCTCCAATTATTAGTCATTTACATTGGGATAATTTCAGATTCTTTGAAAAATGTGCCAGACTGTTAACGTGCCTGGAGATTTTTTCTGAACATCTCATACAACGGGTTTGGCCACTGGAGATGCGTAAGTGTTACCTGTTTCAGTCACTCAGGTTTTATAGACAGTTCCTCAGCCAAATCTCAGCCTGAGGTCATGAGGCTCTTCTCTGGAGGAAGAAGGGCTCTTTGTTTTGGCCAAACAGCATTTAATATCTGTATCCTGATTGCAAATTAGACGTGTGTGGCCCAAAGTGTGCCAACACCTCCTGATCCGAGGCACTGGAAGTTAAATAGGTGCTCGCTGGCTTGTGATCAAGTGAGGGAAGCGGCTGAGGAGGCTCTCTGGGAAAGTGGTGGTCCTTCTTTTCTACTCATATTAGGCAAAAGTAGGTTATGCTAGAGTTAGGATGTTAATTTGGAGCCGACTGATGTCGTGCCCGTGCTTGGGGAAGGGCTGTGCCATAGTGCATCTGCACAAGGGGGCAGAGTTAAGTTGCCCACGCGCTCCGGCTTTGATATTTCCTGACAGTTGAATACTCAGCTGCAATCTTGCATTAAATGTTACGTTGTATTATTTTTAAATCTTTATTTAGGTGATGCCTTTTAAGGCAAAGGGCCCCACAGGGATGACTGATTGGGCTAATGCGGCAATTATTTTTTTCCACCTCCACGAGCAAAAGGAGGCGTTTTTCCAGGTTCAGATCTCTGCCTACTGGCTCTGTCCCTTCTTGTGACCCAATGTGTCTCATCCCTGAGGTAGAAGACACTGCAAAAAAGGAGGATATCTTAGCAAACCAAGATAAGAAAGCTCTTAATAGAGCGACAATACCTTTGAAGTATCCAGGCTAAGCAGAGGGCAGGTCTGATTTTAGAGGTCCAAGTGCAGAACTGGCTGTATTTGGAGGGATGAAGGATGGGCTAACTCTGTATAAGTTTGAACCAATGCTTTTGGGGTCAAAACTTAAAGAATCTGATTACGGGCTTGTCTACACCTGCAAATGCACTGGAATAACTCTTTCAAAAAGCTTAATCTGGAATAACTTTCTCAGTGACCAATCTTATTCCGGGCTAAGGATCTCCTAGAGGGAGCCTGTACCAAAAAGTCTTTCTCAGGAGCTATTTTGGTAGCTTGCTTTCCCTTGTGGATGAAGACTAGAACGTCTGTGTGCACAAAACCCACTCTTTGAGAACAAAACCCGTGCTGTGGTTATTTAGAGGGATTGTGCCTCCCGGCTGACAGCTAAGGTGTGAGGCAGCAGCTTCAGCCTGGTTTCCAGCCACACGGGATAGTGTCAGCCCTGAACCTGGGATAACAGCGCAGGTCCAGTGGCTCGTCCCTCATGTCACTCCATTCCTGTTCTCTCCAAGCAGCCCCATACTGGGCATAAAAGTCCTCAGTGTCCAGCCCCAGCCCTCCTCAGCAGGGACGAATGCCATCTTGGGTCACTAACCTTTAGAGACTATGTCCTGCAGCAGTGTAGCTCCTGCCACTCCGCACCTCCCGTTGGACACAGGTAATATAATCTGATATTTTCCTGCTTATGTTATCTCAGTGACAGACAACGCAATATTTGTTCAGAATCTGTCAAGTTGCCATCATATTCACATTGGTGACCGTATATGGTAACACTGGGATGTGTTTGGCTTGGTCCCGTGGCTTAAACAAGATTTTGTATGGTATGTTTAGAAGGTTTTGGTAAGAGCACTAACCACCCTCCTGTTAGCGAGTAAACTGATATTCTGCAGGAAACTAATTAGTTTGGATGTTGATTTCATTTTCGGTGCATTGCGTAGGGAGGGGAAGAACGGGACCTTAATTGCTTTCTGTTCTGGCACTTCTCTGTGCGACCTTGGCTTGCAAACCTGCTTGGTGCCTGCTTTACGGGGAATTTGCTGATGGGGCCACTTCAAAATCCGATGGTTTCATGCAGAAATAATCTCATGTGCCATTTTTGTTTCTCTTAGTATTGAAGAAAAGGGAGTAGGATGTTGGAAGTGTTTTTTATTTCTTGGGAGTTGAATTCTTCATTGTGATGAACAGAATTCCCATTCTGTAACTTTGAGGTTTATAAGAGTGAATGGTAGTAAAATTAGGAAAGATAAATAATGATAATATGAGAGAGATGGTTGTTGGCTTCTGTTTTACTCCTTTACTCTTGTTGAGTGGTTGCTACCAGATAATGATTAGGTAATTTCTCGCTTGTGAAAGAGAAGCATGTTCGGATCTAACAGCCCAATTCAGATTTTATGTAAGACGCAGCACATCTTCTGGTGAAGTTTGGGGTATTTTTTGGATCGTTCTCTTGGGGAACTTGCTCATGAATAATCTGCCAGCATGACTTGTACCTAGAGTCAACACGACGATCTAAGAAAATCCTGGTTATTTTTTTAAATGCTGGTTCCTCCCTTCTTCTGAGGCTGTTGGCCGCTTTAAATTGTGGCTGAGTTTAAACTTAAAATGTAGTGTGCGTCATACTGGAAAATTAGGGTTGATTTTATTTGTTTTTAATTAGGAATATTAAAAAACTCAGCAAATTGCTCAAATACATTTAGATTTTCCTTAAAGTTTTTATAACTCTGTTTTCCAGAGTCCATATGTTTCTTTGACCTTCAGTAAAAGACGCAAGCAGCAAATTAAAACATGTCTTTTTTGGGTTGAACTTGTACACAGCAAAGGCTGGACTCCAAAGCCTGACTCTTAGCCACAGAAGAAACTTTCATATGGTTCTTGAGATATTATACAACAGTGGTTCTTCCAGGAAAAAAAAAGTCATTCAAAATAAAAAAAAAGTAGAAGTGACACTTGCTAGCAAGTAAGAACCCCTTTTTCAAGATTTGGGACCATTGATGCTAATTTATTAACTGAAGATGAAGTTTGTCTTTAGACATGAATTGGCTGATAGAGCTGATCCTTTCCAATGGCCTGTCTGATAATTCCTTTTTGAGCGTCTGTCTCACCGTGAGCAACGCTGGTATATCTGGGTGCAGAACAATCCTTATGGAATAGTGTGAATACAGTGGAGTCTGGATGTGCCTTTTTCGATTAATTATTGGAAGAGATAAAAATTTCCACTGGAAGGGGAAAATAATAATACAGAAGTCCTCTTGTGCCT